CCCCAAAACCCCAAAACCCCAATGGCTCAGATAAAAACGCATTTTGAATTAATACTAATTGATGATTTAAAAAAGCAAACTCCTTTATTAAAAAAAGTTTCATGACTTCATATTTTAGGTCTTCTGAGATCTAAGTTTACTGTATCCCCAAGAAGGACCAGGCTTTTGATAAATATCGCCTTTGGTATACTTGCGTCTGCCTTTTGAATTTTTGTCCATGCTCAGATTACCCCTGAGCTATGCTTCAAGTATATTTTTCCTTATAACTTCTTGTTCTTTTTTATATCTACGCCAGTAGTAACAAATCTTGACCTAAGCATCAGTCTGAATCTCTAATTTTTTCTTTTCAAAATACTGCATGCTCTCTTGAAGTTTCTTATTAGCTAGTTCTTGTTTAACTTATTTCTTTGCCAGGAAGCCCACTAAATACGTTTTAATTCTCATCGCTGCTTCATGCTTCCTTTATTAGACCATCTATCTTACTAATCTATGCCATCTGCATTTTTTCCACATATTTTTAATTTTTTAAGTTGCTTCAAGTCTTTCCTTCTAAATGTTCAAATACTTCTTCCTATCCTTATACATTTTGTATATACTCTGAATCTTCTCAGCAGCATAGGTTTGCTTCAACTTAAACAGCTCTTTATAGTAAAATTATTCCAAATCATTGCCAGTCATATGTAAAACGTTTAGATCGCTTAGATTTAAATGTGGTAACTGAATCTTTATTTGTTTAAGCAGCAGCTACTTTTTAACTATATCGCATTAGGATGCCTTTAGGCTTATAAGGTCATTTTGCATCTTTTTATACCTATTCCATCTGCGTCTAATTTCATTGGTTGCATTATTTAGGCTGGTATCTCTGCCTAGTTTAACTAAGTGCGCGTTCTAAGTTGAAATGGTTGTAGACAGATTTGAAGATGGCAAGTAAAATGAACTTTTAAACGATTATTGGATAGCTTTAGGCTTCATCAAGCGATTCGGTATTACGTAATCCTAGAGCAAGAGGTTATCATTCTTGGGGAAATACTAATCAAAGTGATTTTTATTCTTCACTATGGAAGTTTAAGTGCTAAGTACTTCGTCTAAGGTTTTTTAGTTTCAGGAGAGCAAGTCTATTTTATCATTTTCTTATACTATGGTGCTATTATTAAGCTAGCGATACTTTGACTTTATTTTTGAAATATTCTTGAAGGCATGTACTGTATGTCAGAAATCTTGTGCAATGAAACCCCGCTAGTATTGGCTGTTAGTAGTGGGAGAACTGCTGGATTTATCCATTATTGAGTTATTAGCAGATGTTCTTAGATCCATAGTATTTTTAGGCACGAGGTCTGGCATTTTGGTAAAGTTTTGACTTTGACGAACTTACCTTTTTAACTTGATTTTTTGTAAAGGCTCACTATTCTTCCTAGAATGAAAAAATTCTTTCTAAGTGCACTGATAGTCTTAATTGCTAAATCTTTTAAGCACAAGCTGCTTACTTTTCCCCAAGTGAGAATCAGTCTGTAATTGAGCATCGTTTTTCCTAGTCTATCCTTTATTAATCTTTATATTGATGAGGATATTAGATTCGGCATTTTTGAGCTAGGGATCTCTTGTATCAGGAGACCAGCCATTCTGAGTTAGTCTTTTATTAAGAGTTGCAGAGGGAAAATTCATTTTACTTTAATTATAATTTAGCATTAAAGTTAGAACATTATGAAATTAAGATTAACTCTCAAATTAAAACTGGCAAGATTGAAGTGTTATGAATTTAGAACATAAGCATAACCCAATCATAATTCATGGTCATTTCTATCCTTAAATATATTGTAAAGGTGGGGGTCTGGCTCTTTTCTCTTATAACCATATTCATCAGTATGAAGGACTCTGTTGTCAAACTAAACATCGTTGTATTTTATCTTGAGTAACCTCATTCCTTCACCTTTGGCATATCTGATATTTGGCATTCTCTCACTTATCCTAAATAATTAAAAAAACTGAAAGATCTTACTAAGACTGTGGTCCATTCGACTGAGAAATAAAGTTATTCAACTTCTTCAAGAATTTAGCACTTGAATGAGAGGTGCCTCCTTCAAATCCAATAATGCACCTTCGTTATTTTGGGGAAGCTAAGGTTTTCAAAGATTTAGCGTTTGTTTTAGTCTTTTAAGGCTGCTAAGGAGAGGAGACCTAAGACTTGACATCTTGCTAGGATGCTGCTTAACTTATGGACTATTGATTTTCAAATTCCTTTTACCTCAAGTAGTCTTTCCTAATCTAATATTCAAGATTTTCAGAAGAGGCTATGATTTAAGTAAATTTAATATTGATGAATATTACCTTTGACTTAATTGGCTAATGCAGCGATTTTCATTGATTGTCTTCTTTATGACTGAGCTAGTTTGCTTGACTTAATTGCCAAATCAATAGGAGAGTTAAATGAGTGAGGACTGCTTAGTCCAACTGCTAATGCACTACCTTAGATTCTTTCAGTATTTTTATCTTTTTCTGGTAAAAACTTATCCTTCATAATTGATTGTAAAGTTGAAATCTGAGCTTAGCTTTGTGATACAGTAAATGGTCTAGTCTCAAATTAACTGATGTTTTAAGATGATTGGTTTCTGTATATCATATTTTTATCTTTCTAGTTTTATTAGTTATTAGAAGGACTCATTAAAATGGCTGATGTGAGAGTGTTTCTCATTGATTAGAGAGCTCCTTTAAGATTAGTAGGAGTGCTTTGTTTTTACAAGGGTGTGAATACCTTAAGTTTAGAAGTATAATTCAAAGCCGTGCTAGTTTTTTGTTGTTACTAAGGATTGTAGAATTCAAATTTTTAAGTATTCTGCAGTGCACTTTAGTCATTAAAGGTGACCTTGTTAGTTAAGGATTTGGTTTCACTGAGCTGCTTCTAGCTTTAATTGCTCTGTCTGCTTTATATCAAATCCCTTTCGAACTGTCCAGCTACTAATTATGGCTGTATTTAGTTCATCTATAGCAGTTGCTGCATAGATTTATTGCCAGCCAGCTTGTGAAACATCGAATGATTGAACTCCTTGTTTTTGTCCTTCTTGTTAATAATTGGCTTCGGGTAGCTTACCTTGATAGTCTTCTTGGGAGTGTTGGGCGTATTTGAACCAACTTATAGATTAGTGGTACTATCTGATTTTCTCATTCGTATACTCTTTCCTGTTGTCTATTGACGATTGAAGTTCTCTTAGTTATGGGATAAGATATCTTTGATCTTCTCTCCATTAAGTGAAGCTTCAATTAGACCTTTGAATCTCTGGTCCATAACCTAAAGCACTGGGTATTTATTCAATAATCCATGATAGCTTTCTTCTTGCATTCTGTCCATATCTTATTTATACTTGTCTATGCACACGTTCTCTGAGTATTTCATCTGCTAAGACACATACTAAACTCTCATTTGCTCTTGATTCTAAAGCATGACTTGCCTCTCATGCTATCTTTTTAGATTTTGCTCAAGATCCATTCTTCTCTGTCTTTTAGCCAAATAATCAATTATCTCCCTTTTATCCTTTTCTTTTTTCTGCATCTATTCGAATACGATTTATTCTTCCACATTTTTGTCAGGATTTGGAGATACTATAGCCATAAGTTTTTTGACCTTCTCGATTTCCTTAGCTTTCTTCTCAGACCAATCAAAGGGATAAATCCATTTTTTGTCGCAGTTTTCTTTCAGCAAGTTGATATCTCCCCATAGTTCACCATCGAGAGACCAGAGCTTAACATGGCGATCAGCTGAGCAGGTTAAGACCCCATCTGGGTTTTCTAAGAAATTTATTGAATTTAGCTAAGCATGATGTGCAAACCATTGTGCTCTTTTGACAAATCCAGTACTGTGTGTCACTTCAAATTTCTTCTATTTCTGCTCACTATAAGTAGTTGAGTGATGTTTGAGAATAGGTTACGCAAAGAAAATTAGGGTTTTAGCAGCACTTAGGGAGTTTACTTGAGCATTCTTCTTGGGATTAAAGGACAGTTAATACTTGCTGATTGAAAGAACATCTTTAAAACCTTTCTGCTCTCTAAACTCTTTAATGACTGGCGTTAGATCCCATTAATTAACAAAGCCATTGTCATCTCCAATGAGCATGATTGGCAGAATGTTAGATTTTATAGGGTTGTCTTTCTCATAAACTTTCACATATTTGGTTTTAGCGCAAGTGATATTCACCTTCATTAGGCATGCTTCAGGATCCTCAAGATTGTTAGCTATCCTGATAATGATTAATTATACATAGAATATTCTTTACTTTTTGAGAAGTTTGTATCTATAATCTAATGGTGCTTGCTTTAAACCCCAGAAGCACACATATCCATCATTGCAAGATGAAACCAGTACCGATAGAGGATACATAAAATACAAAGATGATATAGACTTAGAATGCTCTAAGCAATAATTTTCTACCTTATTAGACTCGAAATCCCAGATCTAAATAAGTTATATAATTGATATAAAATACAGCTATTATTCCAGAGATTGATCCTGTAGCTATAAGCGCTAAGTCTTCACATACACTCATGCAAGATATGTCTTCTTTTCCATGTCCCCCTACTGCTACTCTCAGTACATGGCTTTCATCAGGCTATTCACCTTCATCATATATCTAGAGAGATGAGTCCCATGATGATGTAACCAGCAGCTGCACATTATGATTCTCCATATTAATATATTGTAGTGATGATATCTCGTGCGAGTCCATTTCATTTACCAATTCAAAGGTCTTCTAAACGTTCTTCTGGAAAGGGTGTTACACAGTCTTTATGAAAACACCATTACTTATATTATATGTTCTGATCCCTCCAGCTGAATCACCCACATAAAATTTTCTCTGTCTGTCATCCATGCAAAATGAAGTGATAGGAGATCTAGTTTTAGGATCTACAATATTTTAAATGATCTTTTGAAGTTTTCCATCTTTGGCATTATATATTCTGATGTCGTGGGGTGTGACAATTGAAAAATTCAGGTAATATCTGTTAAATTCAGCTCTAATTGGATTAACCTAGTCATTTGCTCCTTTAGCATTGTTCTGTTACTGTGGTTCTTTCTTTTTGGTATCGTAAAACAGCAGTCTTTTAGATAGTATAGCGAATCTCTCCTATTCAGACTAAGGTGGGTACATGTACATTCCATAGATAGGGACCTATGAATTGATCTCATTAGTAATGACTTAAACACAGGTCAGCGTCCTAACATCCCAGAATCTGAAATTAAACTTTTCGTCTATTGAAACACAAAATGGCTTGAAATTCAAGAACTTAGCACAAACAACGATTTCTGTATGACTATTGGTATTTTTAAATCTAATTATAATTTACCCTTCCAATCGACCGATAAGTGATTTCTTCTGAGTCACTTCTGGAGACCATACATTTACATTCCTCTCAAATCCAACACTTAAAATGAAACCGCCAAAGTTAGGATTATAGGAAAGCTATTTGACACCTTTTACATGCTCCCTTAAGACTGAAATTTCTTCTTTATCTACCAAAGAGTATATTCTAATGGTTGAATCTAGAGATGCTGACGCGATGGCAAATGGAGTTGTCAGCTCTATTAAGTCTAAGATAAGATCTTTGTGTCCCTTTAAGTAATTATAATAATAATCAAATACATCGATTGAGAGAATCAAGGGCTCAGGTCTTGTAAGATCGTATTCTCTAATCACATTATCTTATCCCATCGTTACCCAAGTCTTGTGATTCTTAAGGTATCTAATCTTGTATTACAAGCATGGTGACTTAAGCGTTTTGCATATCTTCAGATTAATGAAGTAATCCCAAAATATCATATTACAGTCACTGTCGATGCAGCCAAACTATCCTGGATATAAAATGATATATGACTTACCATGACATGTTCATTAGAGTAGTCTATGTCTGCAATATATATCTCTTTCTTTGAAGGGGGCAAGTTTATCTACAATATGAGCGTGTTTTAGCTAATTAAGAATTTTACAATCATTTTCTGAGTAAGATCATAAGGGTTGAGCAGCTTGATTTGTTTCTGATTGTTCTCAATGACTAGGAGCGACTAGAACTTCTAACACCAGACTACGTTTTTTATCCAAGAGTTGTGACTGCTCTTGTCTTTGAACTTGCTTGGAAAGTACTTCCTGTATTTCATCATCTTTGTCTCTTGCAGCAGGTCTCTGTTCTTGCCACCACTGCCCTTGATAGATGGATTCTAGATGACAGCATCTATGATATACTAGGTAAACTCAGTCCACTCCATATGTTCATCTCCATTGATATCGATTTCTGCGAACAACTTTTGCAATCCATAAACCAGATCGAACTTCTCCTCCTCAGTGTGGTTAACTGCCGCCTTCATCAGCCACACGAAGTTACCTAGCTTTATTCCATCTGGATGCTGAGAGAACTCCTCTTCTAATGCTTCCAGCTTCTTCTTGTCTAGCATCATCATCAACCTAAAAGCCATATTTTGGTACACCCATGTTATTATTGATGAAAAATATATAAATTTGAGATTTCATAATATAAATGAGTCTTGTCATATCTTTCAATAAACTTCAAGTATGTTTTAAATCTACTATAAAGCTCCCAACTTACTTATCCATAGAATATTTTTAAGTTATCTTTCTGAGAATCATTTTTTTCTCTGAGCCTGATAGCTGATTTGCTTCTTCTATGTTTTGAATTAATTTGTCGTTTGCAGTGGGAGAGTTTTAATCCATTTAAAGCAAGATAGTATAAATTTATATTTTCAATTATTCTTGATTAATATTTCACAATATTATTTCTGCAAATTAGTATTATTTAATAATTTGACTTTGTACTTAATGGAGACATTATTGCCATTTAATCAGCATTCGAATGAGTTGATTTTCTATAACAAGAAGTCTAGCTTTGTCCAGCAGCACAACCAGTAGCTATTCCCAATTGGTTCAGGACACTACCCTCTCTACGTATAGTAAAACTTACTTATGCCTAATGAACTCGCCCTAGCCAACACTGACTTCTCGATAGTACTGATGGACTTGAATCTGCAAGGACAAGTTGCTTCTTTCTAAAAGGAAGCTTTCCATACTGATAAGATCAACGCTCTTAAGTTTTCCAACGACCATACTAATTAGCACCTTCAGCACGTCATTGAATCTGCATCATAGGATGGAACAGTGAAGATCTGGGATAGAAGAAGTGGCGAGGCAGTGAGTACATTGAGACATCAGAACAGTCCCTTCTACTCAGTCGACACTAACAAGTCAATAATCTGTGCAGGCACGAACTCAGAACTTGTCTTCTGGGATATCAGAAAGATGAAGCCGCCCCTTTTCACCTATAAATCTTCGCACACGGATGATGTGACTGGACTGGCTTACCACCCTGAAAACCCAGACTCGCTGATTTCATGCTCCACTGACAATTTGATGTGCTAGTTTGACTTTGCAGGCAAGGAAAACCCCCAGCTAGAAGATGAGACATTAGAGGGAGTTTACTGTTCTAGCCAGCCATTGATCAACTGTGGATTTTTAAACAAAGACATGATCTGGGCAATTACCAGCATAAACACCATAGAGATCATTAACCTGGAAAACCTAGACGTCTTTACTAAAGTAGAGAAGTTCCCGCATCAAGCTGACTATGTGATTGGTTGTGAATAGGATAGATTTACCAGCAAATTCGCTATATATGCAGGCAATAACAAGGGAGAGCTCTATATCTATGAATTAGAGGACAAGAATAAGCTTAACCTTGTAGACATGATTTTACTACCTTAGAATCCAGAGTTGCCTCATGACAACATCATTAGAAATACATTGAGAATCAACAGTGATCAGATAGTGCTGACAACTGAAAATGGAGACTTGAAAATATTCAAGTATAGTCCAGAACAAGCTCAAGCGTAAAATGTAAAGTCTCAAGCCCTGGAACTCCAATAGCTGATAAGTGACAATAATATTGAGGAAGATGAAGATGAGGATGCTAATTAGATGTACATTGGCAAGAAGAAAAATCAGAATGCAAAGAAGTACAAGCCATTTTGAGGACTAGGCATTCTCATTAATTGTAATACATTTAAGGCTCAGTAAGTATACCTTATGTATGAGCTTTATTATCTAATTAGATTGTTTATTTCTTTAAAGCCATTCCATTAATAATTTCTGTGTGGGGTTTTGGGGTTTTGGGGTTTTGG